CCTCCTTTGGCTGCCACTGCTAACAGCATTTGGGTTATGGCAGGTGAAACAGTCAGCCTTGAATCGCTGAACTGAAAGTGTTCTGGTTGGGGCAGTTCCTCTGTCAATCTGCCTGGTAGCTGTGAGCCTCATCTGTACTGTCAGCACTTGGGACTGAACCAGGCGTGGAGGAGCCTGGCTGTGGCTGACAGGATAAATCAGCTGTGGTGGCAACTGATGTGTTTGGAAGGGTTCTTTCCTAGAAAAGCTCTGCAGCTTTGTGTTGGTAGACATAAGCTTTCTTCCTAGCCTTCACGCAAGTGTGGTCAGAGGCAGCTGTGCTATTGCAAAGAGGTGGAGCGTTGGCTTTTTGGTAGTCAGAACTATTACAAATCTCACCTCTGGATCATTTCCTTCACCAAGAGTGCCCAAAGCTGGTGCTCTAAGGGAGGCTTCCCTGTGCCACACATTGGAGGAGTACCTGTGAACAAGCAGCCCTGAGGACTTGCTAAACAGCCTAAATTTGCAAGTAATTTGAAAATAGTGGGAATCCCACTGAAGTAAATTGGGTGAATTATCTATGCTATTCTGCAATTAAAATACTTCAGTGAGTAACTGCCAGTCTGTTCTCCTAAAAAGAGTAGATCTTTACAGTACAGTTGGTTTGATTCATCAGGCCTGGAAACAGGCTATGCCAAAATAAAACCCTTTTGTGCTTCTGTCTCCTTCTCTGGAAAGGCAGGTAGTGCCGATGGGTTCTTGCCATGCTATACACCTGGATGAGCTGCTCAGGTATTGCGACTGCTGTGGGCAGGCTCCACTTCCAGAGCAATGGGGGGAATAACTGTTAGCAATAAGAACGGAATGGTCTGGGGGTTTTTTTGTCTTGCCAGGAAAATGAAGAAATGACATAGTAAAATAGACAAAAAGCTGAGAAATTAATAGCTAATCATCAAGCTCCCCATCATTTCTGCTTTCTGATTTTCCATGTTCTTCAGTTGCCTATTACAGAAAGGTTGGTACCAGCCACCACAAATGCTAAGGAAAGAAAAATGGAATAGCAGACAGTAGTAATTCCTTTCATGCATCTCTATTTCTGGTGTTAATAACTTACCCCTGATTTACCTATATAAATAAGACAGGTCTCTGTTAGAGCTGGACAGTGTCCTCCTTGGTCTGTTGGGAAGACAGCCCATGGAAGTTGAGCCATTGGCATCACAGCCTGTGCTCTCCCTACAGGAGCATAGCAGAATCAGTAGAGCTGATGAAGGAAATCTGTGTGTGAGAATTGCTGGTGTGTCTGCAGTAAAGCTGATGTTTGTGTTCATCCTTAAATAATTGCTTAAATAATACAAGTCTTTCCTCCTTACTCCATTCCTAGGGTATGGAAGGGGGAGGATTGCAAACACAGAACAACAGAACTGTATTTTCCACAGTGAAGCTGCAAGGGCAGTTGGCAGCAGCAGGCCTCAGCCATTGATCTGTGAGATGGAAACAGTTGCAAAATCTGAACTTCAGAAACAAAAGGCCTGACCATTTTTAGCCCCAGAGCTTGTTCCTCAGGGCTTGTGTGTGTTTTCCTCCCCATCCACCCAAGGCAGAGTGTAAGGGAGGAAGGCTTCCCCATCCTCCTTGTAAGGACTTCCCAGGCACCATTCTCCTCCTGCTTTGGACTGTGAATGGGGCTAAGGAGTGAGAGTGGAAGTCTAGGATTGATGACTTCACTCAGGAAAGCTGCCACAGCTGAAATCCTGTGCTTTAACTGCCTATATGGTTGCCAGATCCATTTAGTGCATAATTCATTTTGCTCTAAGGGATACACACAGGGTTTTTACAAATGTTGAATTACATAAACAAGGGTTTGAGTCTTTCTGTTTGTTCCAGGTTGGAAACATTAACAGAAGAGCTGGGACCCTTTGAAGCCAAGTGCAGATGCTGTCATCTTGCAAATCTTCAGGGTGAAGAGCAGCTCTCCTTTAGTCCGCCTGACTGTGTTATCTTACTGAACAACCTGGACTAGTTCGGCCTATGAACCTCTCTCTCATCCTTGGTGTCAGCAGTGATACAGACAGGAATGTGTTTTCCAAGCCAGCAACATACAGACCAGCTCAGAGAAAGCACTGATGCTTTTGTGGGGGAAAGGAAAACGAGCAGTTTATTTTTTAATGTAAAGCAGAGCCCTCTTGTAGGTTAATAAATATTTGGCAGGAATAAAACTGTAAAGCAGATGCCTAAGAGAAAAGAATTAAAAGCAGGGTTGTACTTTCTCTGGGCTGTTCCCAAAGACAGAGCTGCACAGTCAAGTTAACCTCAACCCTCAGCTGTACAAATACAGGAGCTGTTTTGCTGTCACTGCCCCTTCTGTTGTCCAGTACATTGAATTTTCCAGAGTAGTTTTCTGCTGTAAAAACTGTAAAGTAAATAATAGTAGGGGATGAGGGTAAAAGGATTTGAGAGCATTTCCAAGAGTAGCAAGGCTTTAATCATTTGCTGTTAGGGCACAGGGTCCATGACTGGAGGCCTTTTCCCTAGAAAAGTTAGCTCTGAGCAGCAGTTGGAGCATGGTGTGCTGTTCCACCACCTTTACTCTCCTTTTGCATGTGGAGCAGATGTTTAAACATCTCCTTTGCCCATCTGGTGTTTCACTCAGAACACCCAGTTTGGAGCAGCAATACCCCCCAACTGGCCCAGGTACAGTGGCCATTATCCCCAACTTGTAGTTTTGGGGCCTATATTCAAACACTCTGTAAGCACTGTCCCATTCCTTGCTTTCTCTCGTGGTGGGTTGAAGGCCCAGCCCAGCCCCTGCCAGGTAATTTTTGGTAGGTGATGTGTGTGCAAGTAGCAGAAAGCTGTTAACACTTATTTCTGCTAGACAAAGCACTGTCCCTGCTGTGCTGCCCTGCATGGAGCTGGGGAAGGGGAGGACAGGAGACAGGTGGCAGCTGCATGGAAAGCCCATCAGACTCTGTGCCTCACAGAGCCAGCACCCCTTGGGCAGTGGGGTGGTGGTCGGGTTCATGTGCCTGAGTGATATGTGCAAACACAGCGATGGTGTCAAAACTGGGCACCAGACCAAAGCTGTGTGCCAGCTGCCCTGCAGTGAGGGGAGAACACCATTCCCACTTAGCTTTCTGTCACTTCAGATCTTTGTTCCAGCTAATGATTTTCCAGGCCACGTAATGCTGAAATGATCAAAGTCTGTCATGAAATACTAAAATATGTAGTGACATGGGTAAGAGAAAACACAGAGTTGCTTGAACATTACTCAGAATATTTTAATGTACACGCTGTAGCCACATTAAAGAAGGGGAAAAAACATCTTACAGAGATAAATTGATATCAAAGGATGTGATGTCGTCATGCCAGAAGCTGTATGTTTCAAAGTGACTGAAACCAGTAGCATCACAATCCTCTTTTTCTGGCATATGAAAACCAGACCAAGAGGCATGGAAAGGGAATAGCAAATATGTATTTAACTGGTAGATTAGGCTGTTCTGATCCATCGGGTAAAGAAGCAGTCTTGTGTTTGTAAGGTTTTTAAACAGGTATAAACAGTACTTTAAACAGCCTTACTTGTATATACCTATTGGGCTGGAACAGCTGTACTATGTTGGGTAGATAGACAGATATTTACAGAGGATAATGACCGATGTAGAACACGTCAATAAGTACAAAACACCTACCAGATGTGGTGTAGGAGTAACACAGCAGTGAACATCAGCCACAGGTGAGTGCAGTACCTGCCTCTCTTACGAGGTGCAGCAGCCTGTGACTGCCCCGTTTGTGCTTGCCATGGTCCACTGCCACGAGCCCACACCCAGCTCCACCTCAGCCTTGCTTTCCTCAAGGGTAGCGAGGGCACTAGACCCTGCCAAAAGCAGCCTCTCTGACCTCCCCATTGGTCTCAAATCCTTAAAGAAAATAAGGACAAAATTCAGCTGACAGACCAATACTCCCTAATGCCACTGGCCACATACAGGTCTCAGCTACTTTCCAAACCACTTGTTACCGTCAGTGGAAATTTTGATAATAGAGGTTAAGACCAGTCTACAGTGGATACCTAAGTGTAGTTGTCTTCTAGGCCAATGATAACAGGAGTTTAGACATGGGCCATGTGTGGACATTACTACCCAATGGTCCCTTTGCCAGTGTTGCTGGCAAAGCCCTGTTCCTTAGTCACTGACAGATTTATCTCCGTCACTAGGCTCAAAAGTGTCAATAGAAAGGGGACAGCTGCTTGCCCAGAGATAAGTGCGTACTCTGAGCAGTTGTATTCAGTTTAGCAAAACCACCCCTTTTTATTCCTCTACCATGCAGTTAAACCACCCTCAGTGGATTTCTCACCAGTTCTCCCACATGCCATCAATCCCACATGCTGTTAGGGCTCCTCAGTCAGGACTGAGGACAATTGAAAAGTCAGAGCAGTGCCCATGGTAATACCTAATGCCATTGGAGAATCCAGCTCCTGTGCCATGGGTGCTGAACAGGCTGTGCTACTCCATACTTTTCAAAAAGCAGTGCGGTAAGGGAGGATAGTAACATAGGGAAAGTTACATGACAGAAAAATACTGTACAGCAAAAAATGAAAGCTAGTATCTTCCCAGCAGGAGAATACCAAAAAAAAATCCCCTCAATGGGAGGGAGAGAGGCCTAGAAACAAACTGGGAGCAGGAGTGTGGAGAAAGCTAAGAGGGGGGGTGTGCAGGATGCAAATCCTGAGGTTGCAATGTGACAGAGCAAGAAACCTCAGTGCCAACCTGAATATCACAAAAGGCTGAGTGGACCAGACGTGTATTCAACTCAGAGCCAGACAACTACTCTGCAGCAAGCAGAAAATCAACCAACACAACCTGACCAAATGTGGCCTGCATTCTCCCTAACCAACAGAAAGGTGGTAGTGTGACAACTACTTTGGAGAAAGGATGGCAGTAAATAGGAAAGAGAGGTGGAGTAGGCACCTGTTCTTAAAAAGGAAGAAAACATAGGCCTAGTGACTGGAATGACTTTGCAACATGGTGCTTGTTCCCTGCCTCACAGAAACCCTGTTGTGGGAGAAAGCTGGCTGGCAGGCAGGGACAGCCTATGCTGCCAGCCCACACAGTTTCTCCATAGCCTCCCTCTGGGACTGCTCGCTTGCTGACAGGGAATTCACTCAACATCCCACATACAGGAACTGCATGCACCAGGGCCCTCTTTTCTCTTCCCAGGTTTGGTGAAGCCATACTGCCCCAGCTGCCTTCCGCCAGTGAGCTTTTGGGGACTCCCTTCCAAGTGAATGTTTTACCAGTGGGGATGGAACTGTGCTAAGAAAAACAAAAGGGGGGATTTCACAATCTGTCCCCTAGTGAAGCAGTTGCAGAGCAGCAAAGGCCGTCACAGACCATGCCAGAAAGGACATGAATAAGCACTGCTACTCTCTCAGCATGGTCCTTTGTGCAGAGCCCAGCTCAGTAGAAAGAATTAGACTAACACATCCAGATGCATGGCTGTTTCATACCCGTGCAGGGCTGCACTGCAATGGCCAGGTAAGTGATGCTGCTTTGCTGTCAGACAACTGTTTGCACAGACTCTACACTGCGAAAGAACAAAGATTTTGAGAAACCCGGATTCTGTCCATGCATTTAATCAGCTACTAAGGTAGCAAAGTACAGCGGGTACCCTATAAATATTTTTAAGCCCTTAAAAAAGAAAAAAACCAATTCCTTCTACTTCAAGTACAATGCCTTCTTAACACAAGATGTATGGGAAGAGACAGTGTGTCAAGGCCTACAGGTACCAAACAAAACAGACATTCTGAGCATAACTTGTAAGAAACCCACTCCCAGTACAAAAAAGTACCCAAATGCCAGTCCAAATTTCCCCCTAAGAAGATGGTGACAGTGGTCTATTTGCAAAGAAATACTGCTTCAGTTAAAAGTGCTAAAAACCATTCTCTTGAGTTCATATAAAAATAATCATGTCTATGTATGCACACACATATTTACATACATTTATGGCTTTCAGTGCTTCAACTTTCTCGAATAAATGAGGAAATATAAATGCTCCATTACTGCTTTTTCTCCTCAGGTTTTTCAGCCTCTGCTTCTGCAACTGATAAGCTGCCACTACCATATTTTTTCACTCGGGTTTCTACTCTGGAAAGTCTCTGCTTCACCTTTTGTTGAGATGCGGTGTATTCTGCCATGAGCCTCGCAAACCTAGTCTGCAGCGTATCCAGAGCTGTTTCAAGTCTTCCTACTTTTTCTTCCAAGTCTTTTGGGTCAGCTCCTGCTTTTGCTGCCTCCTCATCTATTAAATTGTCTTTCATCAGAATTTGACGCCCTTTCTCTTCCAGAGCCTTTTTGGCTTCTGGATACTCTGTGAGGGCTTCCATTAAATCATCTTTAGACAAGCAGAACAAATCAGAATAACCAATACTCCTAATGTTGGCTGTCCTCCTATTGCCAGATTTGCTACCTTTGATGTTTAAGATGCTGATTTCACCAAAGTAGCTGCCATCACTTAGGACTACAAATTGGGTTATGCCATCATCTGCCACCACAGCCAATTTTCCCTCTTTAATAATGTACATTTCTCTTCCAATATCTCCTTTTTTACAAATGTAGTCCCCAGGACTGAAGACGGTAGGTTTCAGTTTCAGTACCAGCTCAATGAGAAGTCCAGCTTCACAATCCTGGAATATACGCACTTTCTTCAGCGTGTCCAAATGGACATTGATGGCAATTTCAGCCTTCAACTTGTCAGGCAGATTTTTGAGAACTTCCTTCTCATCCACTGTTTTCTTGTTGGTCCAGAGGTAATCAAACCACTTAATAACCCTGGCTTCCAAATCCTTAGTCACTTTTCGGAATTGCATGTACTGTTTAATAGAATCCACTTTGGCCTGGAACTCAGCCCTGGAAGCATTCATGTTAGAAATCATGGAGCCGACGTTACCAACAATGGTAGCAAAGATCAGCACACCCACCAGGAAGTCAATGACCACAAAGAGATACTCTTCGTCTTTCACCGGGGGAGGTGTTTCTCCAATGGTCGTCAGTGTGAGCGTCGACCAGTACAGACTGTAAATGTACTTCCTAGACAGGCGCGCATACTCTGGAATAGAAATGTTGGGATAGACCCAAGTGTCGGTTCCAAATCCAATGACCTTCGAAATCGCAAAGTATATACACGCATTCCAGTGGATGATGATAAGGATGTATAACACAAGATTTCCAATACGAAACATGTTTGGATAATTTGTCCTGGTCTCAGTACGGTCAAAAAACTCAAACAGCCGAGCAATCCTCAGCAAGCGGTTAAATCGTAGTTCAGGGTAGTTCAAACCAAGCTTCAAATAAGCGAGGTCTGTTGGCAGAAGAGACAGCACATCCAGTTTGAACTGCAACGTTTTGGTATAATGTTCTCGTAATTTCTTTTCATCCTTAACTAGCAAGCCTTGTTCAAGGAAGCCTTCAAAGAACAAAAATACAGATTTTACTTGTTAGAATAAAAATACCATCAACAGTACTGAGTGACTTACATTTCAGATAGCTGAGAACGTTAAAATTTTTACTGTTATGTATACAGACATTCATATATTATGAGGTCATTTAACTAAAAATTTAAATATTTCAATCAAGTTTCAAAGCTGATATATAATGATTAAGGATAATGACTCTATTATTACCACAGTTCTCTCTGAAGTTTTCTACTCTATTCTGGGACAGCTGTATTTTTTTCCTCTAAGTATCTTTGCAAAAGGAGACGGGAGATTCAAATGTCTCATTTTTTATGAATCATTGGCATGAGTCATAAATAAAGTTATGCAAGTGTTAAGCAATTGTGTATAAAATCAGAGAGAAATATTTTTAAATAAATACCAAGAATAAGTAGGTATAATGGATCGTTGGAAACTTTTTTCCAAACAATATAGATACCCATTGACCTGCTCCCTGAGCCATGCTTTTCCTCTTGTGTCCAACGTAAAACTGACGGGATTTTCCTTGGTTTGCACTTTTTAGTGTTTCCAGTGAGAGAGCTAGAATTTTGCACTTTGATATTCATTCAAATTATTTTGAAATATTAGATTTAAAAAGATTACAAGGAGATATAAACTTAGTTAGAGACCTTTACTGCAGACAGTACAGCCACAGTGCTCTTTGGTAACTCTGAAAGCTCAAGGCATTGAAAATTTTCCACAAGGAACAGCCTATGCACTGCAAAATACTTGCTGCAATTGCGAGTGGAGATATCCAACTGTCTGCCCACTGGGCCACTCAGGAGGAAAAGTCCACTGAGAAAAAACCAAAATATTCCCCGTATGTGAGGGATTTTCACATTTTACTAATCCCTTAGCAATCTACAAGCAACCTACAGCTTTTTCAGGGAAGCATCTGCTGAGGAAGACCAAGCTTCATTTCTTTGTGCCCTACACAGCACAGCTATATTTCTGGAATGTATGGTAGATCTGTAGAGATGCCTCATGTGTGCATCTGGCTTTGGATATCTGCAAACTGATGGTGCCTACAAATGGAAGTATTTCCTGTGCCGTTAATGTGTTACATCCCAGAAAACTGCTGAAAAGGCTGGTCAGATATGCCCTTACTAACAGTTATGCAACTAAACAGAAAAGTTGGCCAGGCAGATGAATTTCTAACTCAAAGTTATGAAAAATAACTTTGAAAATGCCTTCCTCCTGAAGGGAGATAAACCCCCTCAGCTCTCTTTGTCCCCTCATGGAACTGAAGTCTTACAGTAAAACCTTTTGAAAACATCAAAACATAGAGTATGCTAAACACAACCAGCTGCTGAGACATGAATCTTTTCTGTTTCACAGTGCATAGTCACCAAATAGGTGAAATACAGTGAAACTGGCCCTGCAGTTAGACAGAAATGCCCCACAGAGAAGCTGATGGGGATTAGAGTATTCATGGGGCTACCTAGATCCCAGTTCAAAGCCAGGCCCTGCCCTCAGACAGCAAGAAGTCAGACTCTTCCCCAAAGGCTTCCAGGACCTCTGTCCCCAGGGCAGATGGACCCTGCAGACTTAGAGAAAAAGGCAGCAGGGAAAGGCAGAGCCAGGAGGGGTTGTTATGAGAAAGATTTTGGCACCTAAAAGAAGTGAATTCTTTATTGGAGTGCATGAAACTGCAGCAGACACCTGCACTGAAGTGTTCAGGAGATCACTGCTGTGATTCTGCGGTTCCAATCCACACCCGCAAATTCAACCTAACCACGCTTTAAGACATATAATTATCAGGGTAGCCCATGGAAATTTATAACTTGTACTGCCTGGAGATGCCCAATTTCTGCTCGATTCTTTCCCATTACAATAACAGATATAACTGCAGAAGGTAAATTTAGTTGGCACAGTTGGCATTCTAACTACACAAGGAAGATGAAGCCCCCCTCCCCCTGCCCCAAATACAGCAGTCTTGTGATTTAGGCTGGTATCTGAAATTTACTTTCCTTTTGAACAAGGTACTTGCTAAGTTTAAGAATTTGGCTTGCCATGAGTTGTGTGCTTCCCACATGACAGCATTTTTAGCCTCTGTCTTGTAATTATGTTTATAACTTTTCACAAGCCATAATTATTGTCAAGCTGTCAGTACAGTTTTAAATAAATAAATAAATAAATAAATAAAAATAGATAAATAGATAACATGTTAAAATGAAAGATTTAAAAGGACTCTCGTTTTAATGATCAGTGTGGGTTTGGACCCTTTCAAGGCATTTTGAGGCTTTGTCTGTACCAGTCAATAGAACAAGACAGGAAACGCTTCCTGGCTCTGAGACCAGCTACCATGACAGCTTATATTCACATGTAAGTTCTTTCAGGCAGCTCCAACAACAACACCATGAACAACAACCCACCCCCTGCTGTCCTCCTATCGTGCCCAGGCACTGCCTGAGTGGACCAAAGTGCAAGCATCAAAGTGTACCAAGGAGTACTACAGCAATTTAATGTTATGGATCACTGTATGTCCTTGCTTAGGCCTATATTATGACCTCATTTAGCTAAAACCAGATATCCCTGTAAGGTTAGAATCTGTATCAGCTGGGCATGCTCAAATAGGAAATCTTCTCAGCCTGCCAGAATTACAGAACCACGAATGGGAAGCTGAAGAGAACCACTTAGCATGACATGGCACAGTCCTCACAGACCCTTTAAGTTCGCACTTCCTCCAGGAAGGAAAGACCTAAACAAAGGGGCCTGGGTTAACCCTAACTAGCACCAGGCAGTGGCAGATCTGGCCAGGACCTCACAGAGGCTGCAGAAAATACAGTGGGAGGCACTGCTGGTTCCAGGCAGAAGACCACAGACTGAAGGCTGACATTGGTGCCAGGCTCTTGCGCTTGAGCAATTCAGCTGACACTTCTGACCAGGATGCTGCACAACTTGGTTAAGAAAACAGCACTTGTGTGGTACAGTTCATTTCTTGCCCAAAATGCCCTATTGTCCCTTCCCCACACAGCCTCTTACAGTGCCTATTCAGTCAGCTTCTGGCATGCCTATTCAGCACTGATAGAACTGAATTTAGAGACAAATGAAGAACAAGTGCTGGAATGTTCAGCCTTAAAAAAAATCCAAACTGCTCAGCCACTTCATCTTTCCAAAGCCTCCACTGTTGGGGTCTGCCAGAGACAGGATATTACACTGGTCAGACCTCACAGGGAAATTTCTGTTTCCAGCCTTTATATACATGTAGTATTTGAAAACACCCAAAATCCCAGAAAGACTCACCTGTTCTGAATCTGACAAACATGTCAAAAAAATAGATGATATCAGAGCAATAATCCAGGAACAGCCACATTTTAACATGGTCCATTTGTAGCTCATCAAAGCAGGCTCTAAAGAAACAAAGATTAAAAAAAAAAAAAATTACACCAACTGCACAGAGTATTTGCAGTATGTGTCCTAGCAGCATGTTAGCACACATTGTTAGAACTGAAAAATTACAGGAACCATATCTCCATGGCTAGAGCCATGTCTGAACAGATACTAAGATCTTTCAGAATTCAAAGGTGTTCAGGCCAGGAACAAAACTCAAACACATACATGCCACGCAAGTGCACTTACGGAGGATTAAACATATCCCTAAACATATCCCATTAAAAATGCATCGGGTTTCGTGGGCTACACATCTCCATTAGGACAGTGCCCAAATAAAAGGTTTGTTTCTCAGTTGCAAGCCGTCCTCGTCTCTAGAGATGCCTTATATTAATTTAAGACGCCCCACCACTGCCCCCACCGCTCCCTTCTGTTCTCTCCTGTGAGATGAGAAGCCCTCATCCCTGGCAGTGGCCAGAACACACCTCAGCCGCCAGCCAGCAGGTGGCACACAAAGGCCACATCAGTGCTCACGAGGACACTTATTGCAAGTTACAACCACCTGTTTTTAGACTAAAAGATAAAAAAAGAAACACTGGCCATCTATTCCCAGTGGTAGACATACCATATATCCCTAAGGGTATATGAATGGTAAATCTTCTAAGTAAGCCACCCAAAAGATACTGCAGGGAGGTGAGGGGGTGATTTACATGGGAAACATAATGATTGAAACATAGAATTATTATTAACTGAAATCCATACCTGCACACTAGCATACACCAGTTATAGAACACGGGTGCAGCAATTATGGTCAGCCAGTTGTAGTACAGATTGCTTGAAGGATCTATCACAAAGATCTCTTTTTTTGGCCTGGAAAGGAAAACATGCAGGTTTACACTGGAAATGTAAACAAGCAACCTGCTGGATCTCCCTCTTCTGGAGGCTGCTCATCTTGTGAGGAACTCACAGCTGCCTGAGAAGAGAAAGTATCCATGCAGGCAGCCCAGATCGGATACCAAGCATTAGCTGCATCCCATCTGACAAGCTCTATTTCTTTGTTTGACCCGACTTTGGAAAAAGTAAGTAAGAGTGGGAAGAAAAACCCGGACGTTCACATCATCCAAGCTGAAACCCATAGCCTTTATGTATAAGCCCCCCACTGAAAAAGGTCTTGAGATCAAGCAGATTCCTTTTGGAAATGATTCCTAACTACATGTCCCCATGACTACATAGAATATGCCACTATATACACACATACATATAAATTTACAGTATATTACTGTAACATACTCCTTAACTGTGAAGTCCAACCAAATGCATTCTCTTTTTTCATCTGCTTCCATTGTTGCTTTTAATAACTGCTAATACTAAATTGTACTATGTGTCAGCTTTAGGGTGACAAAGCAAGAGCAAAGCATTCAAATGATCTCATTTTGTTGCAGAAATACATCATCCCCTAACAAACAGAAGCAAACTTCAGTGATCACTAGCCATCAACTGCACCATACTAAGTAATTAAATATACTAGTCAGTGAAATAACTAAACTTACTAGCAAATCTTTAATTTTCTACATGTAAGATTCTTGGTAAGATGAACCAGAGTTTTGGTTCATCTGCTCTGAGTCGTTATGGACTCTGAGTCATTTTGGAACAATGAAAAGTCTGTGCAGCTCTGCAAAGCAGGCTGCTGTCCTAAAATGTCCTTATAGTAAAAAAGTGATCTTCAAATCAAAGTGACCAAAGGCAGCTCAATTCCCTTTTACTGCCATAGGAAGCTGATCGTGACACAGGTCTAAACATAGGTCTTCAAGATGCAACAACTCTGCCAAGCAGCTGAAACCTTTCCAAAGTGGAAAATGTATTAAAGACTTGACAGGCTAAGGTTCTGCAGTCCACAGTAATAGTGAAAGTGTTATGATGAAATGCCATACCATGTTTTGTAGTGCAGGGAGGTATGTCACAAGCACATATTTGTTCTTTATACTTACTCTTCCTTTTTTTTATCATCTTTTTTGTCATCTTTTTTGTCATCTTTCTTTTCCTCTTTCTTTTCCTCTTTCTTTTCCTCTTTTTTCTCCTCTTTTTTCTCCTCTTTAACCTCTTTCTTTTCTTCCTTTTTGCTGTACAACACAATGCAAAGCTTAGCAATATTACCAATATTGAAGCAGTTTAGGGAGAGGGTGGATGTTGAGGCAGAGGAAACTAGACTACTCTCCAGACAGAGTAGGACAGGGATCCAGCGGAGACCTCTCACCCTGGCAGCACCACACTCTCACGTCAGGTAACCAGCTGGCTGATTCTCTGCATTAGTCACCCACACTTTCTCGACCTTTTCAGACATCAGTGTACCAGGATGATTTTAAGTAAACGCTCTCAATTTGTTTCATTCTTTAGAACCCAGACATTTAAAAAGAAATCTATCAAATGATGACAAAACTTGAAATGGCTTAACAAACTGTCAACATTCTTTGCATAGCTAAAACCTCACTGTGACTGTCTGAAGCTTTAATAGTAATTAAACAAAATGATGCTCAATTTCCTCTCATGGTTCTTTGAAATCAGCAAAGTTATAACTAATTAATTACCTTTGGTTTTAACAATTGCCTTGAAGAATTCCAGACAATATCTGAACAAAATCAGCAAATGTAGAGAAGTGTGTCTCACTTAACTATACAGTAGTCATTTTACAAATGCTTTACAGTCAACATGATTAAGCCATCCTATTTTAGTTGCATGTAAGAGATAGAGATCTACTATATCTATGAGATATTCGATGTGGCATAGTCCATGAGTCCACAAGATGACCTGTGCTCCAAAAGGATTTCTTTGCTTTCCATCAACTGTAATAGAAGAACGGGTTGCCCTGCTCAGATGCAAGTGTCTGTGGTTGGTCAGAGGAGCTATGCTCAAATTGCTCTGCCCATTTTCCATTGCCACAGTATTCAAAGGCTGAGCATTAAGCATGAAGTTCCAACCTTTCCTAAAATCAATGGGAATTTTGCCTAGACTTGATGGAATCATGATAGTCTCCAAGTTAATTGATCATTTTCCATTCAATAAATTAAAATAGGGACCATTTTAACATGATATATTCTAACATTTCAAAGTATCCAGCACTGACTCAGGCTTCAAAATTTAACTCCAAACATGGATTTTCATACTGTTCAAGCTCATTAGAATGTGATAAGCCAGATATAAAGACAGTTCAAGACTCTTCTGTTCAGACAAACCTAAGAATGGGGCAAGTCAGATCTATGTTAACTTATAGCAGATAGGTCCACAAATCCTTTATAAACTGCAGAAAGTTAACATCTCTCTTAAGATTCTGCCAATACATAATCTTAAAGCTAAATTTTTTACATGCCTTGGTCAAGAATCATGTAATGCATTGCCTGAGATCTCCTTCTTTTTATTTGAAATTTGTCTAGTCCTTGAAGAAGAAAGTGTCCCCATTAGACAGAAAAGCCTAAAACTGTTCCTGACACTACAGTATATGTGGATAATGCATATTTAAACATAACTCCCCACAGATAATGTCTGGTTTGGATGAAAGCCAGGGACTCTAGCTCCCATGGGAGCTTCATGTTCTCTGAACTGCCGAGACTGGGTCTGAGTCTCCGTTTGCACCAGTGTCAAGAAAGGATACATTAGTTCAATGAGAGCCACATCCCACAGCAAAGGCAGAGTATGGAATAACAGGTGAAAAACAGGACTTGTGCTTTTCACGCATACCTGCTCATACCGCTCACATCAGAAAGGTCTAGTCTGTGAATGGCAGTCATGTCGAGGACTGTGCTTGTTACAGGGAGAAAGAAGCACTCCAAAGGAGAAGACAACAGTCACCAATTTTAAGATAGTAGCAGCTTTCACCTGTTAGCAATGAGCAGCTGTTCTAATTCTTACCCTTAGACATTTCCATAGTGATGGAGCAACACAGTGTGATTTGGAAAGCCCAGGCTCGTTTGGCAAAAAAATGCTGAGATCCTACACTTCGCCACATCCAGGGAAATATCTACCAAGCTGACCAACACCACTGAAACTTTAAAAATTATACACTGCAAGGGAGTACGACTGGAGGAAAAAAGAACCTTTAGCTTGACTGATCTTCTATTTATGCATGCATCTCAAATCAAAGAAACAGCTTTTCATTTACCAAGGCTGCTTCTTACACAGCAGTGGGAACTGCTGCTCAAGTATCTGTTTCTCTGCTCACTGACTGCCCTGAACTTTATGGCTTCATTTTCAAATCTGACCCCAAAACTCCTTCCTGTTTAAAAAACATGTCAGGATTTCACTGCAGATTACTATAAATGGTGTCTGATCTTAAAGGCAATTCACAGGTGCTGTTATCAACATCAATGTAGCTCCTCAAGATTTCAAATGTCTGTCATTCTTACCAAAAGTTATAAGTAAACAGAATTTGCAAAGGGTAGGGCTATACATTTGTGGATCTTGTTATGCAGGGAAAAGTAGGTTGAGATAGAGAATCAATCAAAAAGTCTTGTTGGTGGTGGACTTTGGAGGGAATATTTTGACCATTCCAGCTCCCTCCTATGTTTATGGTTTATTTTTAAAAAGTGAAAAAATATTATTTTACACAGCATCTCATGCCAATAATTATTTTTCTCTGGCCTGAGATCTTCAACAAACTCATCTGTCCACTACAGGTATCTTTCATAATTGAGTTTCTTCCATTTATGTGGCCTCTTTGCATCTTTCTATTGTCATACCTCCCACCTTACCACACTCCCACCTATTTGCAGTCTGCCCATGGAAGTCACTCAGACAAAAAGATTGGTCATAATCAAAGACTCAAAAGCATCACCAACAGTCCCCCAAGACCTGGCACACCTAGGTCTTTAACATAATAAAAAACCTAAAGCTTAAAAAAGACATTCATTTTTCTTTATCAGTGCCACTGAGGAAACTGGAACGCAGTAACTAATAAAACAGTTGTTTGTGTCTGCCATTTTTGACCCCAACAGAGCAGCATCCATTCTGTGTTTCCACAGTTTTAGACTTGGAAAACATCTTCGTCAGCCTCATAAAAATGCTGTCACAGTCTTTGAATTAGTCAAATATTTGCATTTCTCATGTGTCAAGTACTTTGAAAATCAAGTATGTTTCAGACTGTCGGGCAGGTAGACAGACAGGTATTGTATTTATTTAAAAATGACGAAAAATTGGAAGGATGAAAGTCTTGCCCAAGGTACATGAGTCATTGTCAGAAACAGAGAAAGACAGAAGTATTTCATCCTAATCAATCCTTTGGGCCCCATCTAGGAGGCTAAGCTGCAGGCTTATAGCACTTCTTTTATACCAGTCTGAATAAAAATCTACACATTTCTCTCACTGTTCGCTGCACACAGATTTTCCTTTTCAATAAAAGTTATGCAAACAAAACCAAACAGTTGCTCTAGGAGGAGGAAAACTTCTTGTCCACGTATGTGCACAAAGGTTTTGCAGCATCATTTAAAATGTACAGTTTGAACTTGCCCATGACAAAATTATTTCAAGAAAATAAACCCCAAGAGTTTTCTAAAAGTATTTCTGACACAATCAGAAGCTGTCTTGATTAATTTTTTTTTTGCTTTCATTTGGAAAACAATGAAAAAATTTACTATCATCATGCGTGAGAACAGATCTGCTGCTGGATACTAAAGAGCAGATGTGTCCTCCAACAGCTGAGCAAGAAACAAACATTGGTGTTGGGTGATTTTAAATTACAGGAGCTCATCACACTGTTCAATAAATTTCTCTTTGGTGTAACACTGTGAAATAGTTTGTCAATTATATAAAACAGACAAAACAAAAGGACAGCTTCTGTTAGAGCTTCTGTTACAATACCGGCCTTAACATGGTGCCTTTCACTCTCTCTAAAACAACAATATCTGCTGAACTGAAACACACTTTAAAAGGATGCACACAGAAGTGTTTTCTTGGTACCTTGACCAGTATCCACTTCTCATTTGACAATCTGAAATTTTTGGGGCACTTGATTTGCAAAAACGGACCAGTATGTTAAAAGAGGAAAATCACTATTAGAAAATTAATACATGAATCTCATTTAAAAACTGAAGAATTAATAAATCAATTGGTGATGCAGTAAAATCAGCCAGCTGAACAACAGGAGGTAGCGACTGAATTCTTGATCAAATTCAGTCCTTGAGAGGAAATGGTAACTTCAGACAAAAAGAAGTTCACAGGGAGCAGGAAGAATGTTTTTCATACTAAGAAAACTAGACCTTTCTCTATAATAAAACTATATTCCTAGGAAAGGCTTAGTGAGAGCTAAGGAGTAACTACAGTAACTACAAATGTTACTAGGCTGGAAAGGGAAAAAGACAAGGTGCCAGTAGTATAGAAAGATGTTTAGAAGTTATCAGTACTTACTCTTCATTGGTGTTGTTGCTATAGTTGACATTAAATCTGGCCAAAGGCCAGTGACTGAAAGCAAGTTAAATAAAACACATTAAAGAGTGTAAAGACTGTTGGTATTTCATGCACGTGTTCACAGACATGACAGACTAATTTACTAGCACCTCACATATGCACTGATAAGATTAGGAAGGTCAACTTTGACTGCTGTGATAAGCCTCTTTGCATAACCGCTTCAAGGCACCAGTTTCTCTTTACCATGTGCTTCGCATACCCATTTGTGACCACATTTGATGCCTGAAGCTTGTTCTTAGGTGTATCAGTGCATGGCAATATGCACCTCACTATTTTTAGCCTTTTACTCATGGGGCTGCTATTTTAAGCTTTCTTCAGTCCTTTCAACTCATCTTCACGAATGCAGCGTCAAGGCTTGTGGATAAGTAATGAGCATACCTACCACTGCTGCAGAATTAAGCCTTCAGGATATAACAACTGGGAGTTACTGTCAAGCAGCAACAATGTAAAACTGAGAAGGCAAGGATGGATACTCTCAAATTCACTTTGAATAGCCTCATGTAGAGGTCTGTTGGCCCAGGATCAATGCTGTCCTCTCTAATTACTTCAAATCTGAAGTTGCTACTTTTCAATTGCTACAGATCCAGACATCTGAGAAATGAGACAATAGTCTGGCTAATTCAATACGTGCTTTTGAGCTGAATTTCCAAGGAGTAGATCAAGTGAAGATAATAAGGCTGTGCTGGACCACAATAAATCAAGGTAACCTGTACCATGCACAGCCTTTCAAAGATTTTTGCTTTAATCTGAATGACTAGCTGAGATTTTGAAACAAATTGTCTTATTACTTGCTTACCTACCAATCTTTAACTATGCAGAAAAAAACAAATTTAAAAAATGGGAGTCTCTGCTTCAAAGCATAATAAACAGAAAGTCAGCTTTTGTTTTGGGACTTCCTTTTTGCCTCTTCTACCTGGAGTTAAACTTAAAACACTGTATCATATGTCTACAAAGCAATAATAATCCAGCAAGTCAAAAACCATAAAGTTTTCTCTTGCAAGCCTCTGTTGCTCTATTGGAAAAAAAAATTAAGATAACACTGAACCTGTCTTTCATACCAAAGAATGAGTATGTAGTAATAAGTGAAGTCAGCAGCCAAAAGATTTTGTCATTTCTGCATCAGAAGCCTTCTGTAATGTTAGCAGATGAATTCCTGAGTAGGTATAACAACACAACTGCTTGTTTGAAGTTTCCTAATACTTGCAGATAATGTGCATTAATATTAATGTCCTGAAAACCCATAGCTAGCAATATTCTGGATTCTTGAAATAAAAATCATATTCATCCTCAGTAGAGATGAGTTTAGCAACATCAAGTTGCACAGCTTGCCTATGATAAAATTCCAGTTCTGAGAAATCATTCTGCCTGAAGCAGTATGACCAGAATCCTTTACTTCAAGATCTCTGCCACAGTGCATTTGAGGGGGAAAGAGAAAGTCTGCTGAAAGCTGTAATACTTCAGTTATATGAAGATTCCCAGGCAGCATTTCCCATGCTAAGCTCCTTACCCTCTTCTTAAAATAAAACTTAGATCCTAATTACCAAGAAAATACCATAACGTCAGTCATCTTCATTTAAAGTATAAACACATCTTACCTGTTTACTGCCCCAGGCCGCTCACGGCTACCCAGAAAGGAGCGGATGTTACTTTGCCTACTGGACACCTCTACGAGCTCCGGCCCTCTGATACGTTCCAGGAAAGAATCAGGCCTTTGGTCTTCATGATGCAAATGTCTTGTGGCCCATGACCTTACAGATAAGACAAATCGTGACAGCCTGCATGGAACAGACACACAAAATTGACTGAACCAGACAAGAGCATAAGATGCCTTAAAACATTCTCACAAACAGCAGCCCAGGAGGATTTTTCTCCACTTCTCCACCTGCCATGAAATTAAACTTGATGGATCAACTGTAAACCCAGTCACTTCCCTCAATTTCACAGATTATCTTTTGCAGTGGATCACAAAAATATCTCGCACATTAGTTCCTAGTCCACAGTATTAGCATTGCAGAAGCAATACAATATTCTTGTCAATGAGGGCCTTTCCATCTCAGTGTGAGATACTCAATGAAGTCCATCAGATGCACTTGTTTTAGGTCCTTGAGAATTTGCAGTCAGGAGTCATGTTATGATACCATAACATTTAAATTGCTTAGCATTTATGTTTTCATCAGAAACTACCTTGTATATTCAGAGCATACTTAACGGTAGCCAGACACACGTAATTCAAACTATTCTGAAAAAGGGTAAACAATATAAAGCATAAAAAGGAAGTTCTCAGTATGAATTTAAATATTCATGTGCTTTATGTCTACACAAAATGCACACCTATAAACATTTTTCATCTAAACTCAACTTTTTGCACACTTTTTAATCTACACGTGGTGGCGTCGCTATCTGACAACCAGAGAAGTTTATTTTCCCCATACAAAAGGCTTAAGTGTAAACAACACTCTTTAAATGACCTTAGCTTCATAAAAGCTTTTTTCTTTGCTCTTTGGAATACACTACGTTTAAACTGAGCATGGTCTGTATTGTGTGTAATAATGGTATCCAAAGGCAGAGCTCTGCAGTCTCAGACAGAAATATTTAAAGCAGACACAATAAGTTTTTGAAGCTCCACTTTAGGTTTATGTTTAAGTCTTGGTAATGTGAACAGTTTAAGTCAATGGTTGACTTCAATTTTGCTGACTAAGGTTCCAAATCCATTATAAACATAATTGGATTCTAAAAACTGAGAGAAACTCTTGCACTCTCAACACAAGATCTCCTGTCTCCTCCCTTGCCAGAGCCATCTACCAAAAGGGAACCATCGTTATGTTTTATTTGATAGTACAGTAACATTGCATCTGCTATCAGCCAGAATCAAACACTTACCCATTTACTTCACAGTTTGGCCTCACTTCATGCATTTCCACAGCATTCAACATATTTTCTGATCTGATTATGTAAAAATAATTTTTTTTTATATTTGACAATTTTGTGTGGGTTTATTCAGCATCTCTCAGATTCTAAGATTTTTACTAGCAATAAGTGAAGAGTTGAGAATCAAGGTCAAAGGCAACCTCTGTTACTTCTTAATAGACTTTCTTCATCCATTTTCTTTGGAAAGTGATAGCTCTTCTTTCTTTGACTCCAAATTGTGAGTGGTCTCTTTCAACAAATTAAATTTAATGCTGGAAGTTCTACTAGTCAGCATGTTACCTTGCCATTGCTCCCCTGCCTGTGAATGAGCTCGTCTGGGATTCAGATACATGTCTTCCCTCCACAGAAATGACTCCCTGCAGTTCTGAAGACGCATCCTCACACAGTGAATGGGTTCTGCAAAGGCAATTTTTTTTTTTAAGAATTCCATATAGCATTCACCAGACTTACCCCTAACCAGTTCTTTCCACCTACTACATCAGGAAACAGGGCAGCAAATTGTCTTCTTAGTAACACAGCATATGTTTGATAATCCTATGTTCCGACTTTTCTGGAGCCATCCAACGTGAATTAAAGTCAGGGGAGGCTCTGTCATACGTTCCAGCAAGCTCAGAAGCTAGAGACTATTCATGAGCACTTGAAAAAATAGCATTTGAGAAAAAGAGATGAAAATTTAGCCTCATCTTTCAGTAATGGAGTTTTGAAATTCCGGACTTTATGAGGGTTCACTCTGAATTTTTTTTTAGTACTCCTAAGATTTTCTCTATGTTTTCCAGTCTTTTGTATTCACTTTTACAAGACTTTATCACGACCACTAAGGATCTTTTTTTTCCCCCTTTGTAATGCAGACATGAACTCTCACATGAGTCTGTTCATCCGTATTGCCAGGAAAATATTGACTATAATGATAGTTGCAGTATCTTCAAAAGAACTGGCAACAGCACTTTCAATGCCCACAAAAAGATAATTAGCAGCTCAGTTTTGTGGAGTGCACTCACAGTTGAGAAACTGACAAACATAGAATTAAAATTTTATTATTTCTACACAAAGAATACTAAAATAGATCCTGAAAGTCCCAGGATTCTCAACTTTTAACTGTTTTCTACTTCTCTTCTAATTACAAAACACCAGTAGACACTGCCTAGTACTGAAATACTTTTATAACCTAGTTTATGTTGTCAGTGCTGAGAGTATTGTGGCTGCTAAAGTTCACATGGCTTCTAGGGGAAAATCAATGAACTCATGGAATAGAAATTCATTATGGATTACCAGATACACAGAGCCTGCATTCATCTCAAGAAGTCTCTTGAGCTAGATGTAGTAGAGTTTGCCCACCTTTTTTACTATTTCCTAGAGCACTGGCCTACAGACCTGCTGGCAAAAGGATGCTGGACTAGTCCATCTTTTAGACTGCACTACCATGGCTATTTTTAAGTACTTCCATTCCTGTTTACAGACAAATATACATTTTGTGTATATATAAATTCTAATACTGCTGCTGGGCAGTGCCTAATAAGTATCTAAGTTCTCATTATAGTCAGTGGCTATCTTCAGCTTGATTCAGCTGCCTCAATATAGGAGTCTAGTACCATTTGGAATACTTCAAAACACTTTATCAGACCTCTCCAGAGCACACAGGTCTCTCCTCACATCCACTAGCAACACCTAAATGCTTCAAATACCCTATGGTATCTCAAATAGCATTAGATGCCTATTTTAGTCAACTAAATACCTCTCTCATAATCAACAGAGCCAAATGAGCCTGAAGAGTTATTCAGCTCCAGGGTAAGCTGAACAGTTTCCCAGGTGCTGCTGACTGTGAGTACTGACTACATCTCCACTCATGACAGCAGGAACATAGACACCTTCTCACACAAAGGCACCAAAATCCAGATGTCTACAGGGCTCAGCTGAACCCCAACTTTTAGACAGGCAACCTGTGCCTATAGACTATTGTGTTGCCTCTCCTGTTTGAGCTGTTTCTCTGCAGAGGCTGGATTTTTAAAATGGAGATTCATTTGTTATTTTTTGTTTTGTCAATTTTTTTATTTTAACAAAATGAACCAACTTCATAACATGCTACAGAACTAAAAATATGGGCACAAGAATCACTTACTCCCGCATATATGAGAATGACAGCTTAAAGATCAGGAGTAGCTCTCTGTTAACTATTGCAGTGAATTCTTTTTCTTGATAATGCCTCATTTCATAGCAGAAAAGGGCTTAAGCACATCCTTAGCATTAGGCATAAATTTAACACCCACTAACTTTAGTGAGAACTAAGTAATGTGTTTAATTGCTTTGCTGAACTACAGCCAACAGGAGCTGAAGGAAGACAATGGCAAAGAAGAAACGCTTGCTACTATACAAAACCTGGTGGTTTTTTCCCAATGTCTATAGTTGTATATTTTGCCACAAAATAGAGAAGGGCTAAAATTCTGGATGGGACCTATCTTTTGGTACAGACATATTCTAAAACAAAATTGAACTTAAAAAACCTGTACCAAAATTCTTTGAGTGGTATTACAAAGCTATTGTATATACTTACTAGCAATCACTTGAGCAATCCAAACCCCCTGAATATGAGATCTTTTTTAAAGAGTAATATTGTATCTTTTTAGCTCTTATACTTTTATCTTTTTGTGGTTTATCTTTTTATATCTTTATCTTTTTTATATCTTTATATTTTTCAAATCTTTTCATCTTTGATGAACTCCCGTAACTAATGCTGATAGCAGCAAATTTCTTTGAAATAAATGTTTCTTTAAGACCATCATCATGATGATATAAGTGCAGTTCATATTTCAGTCCCTCTATCTGTCAAAAGCAAGACATTGCCTCTGAAATTGCAGATGACCAAAGAGATTCAATCTTACAGTTAAACCTTTATGACCCCACTCTCACATCCCCATCAGTAATTCCATTTGTGAGCTGCCAATCATTGATATCTCTGCAACTAGGACATAAAAAAAAGGAAAGGAAGATGCTTATTTCTGTGTTTTCCCTGTTTCTGCGATATCACTGTAAACAGAGACAAAGGGACATGGCTCTTCCAAATCTAAATAAGTCAAGCAAGACATACTGTGCAGAATAGAAGCAGCTCCATTTTCCCTAGTACAGGTACACTCACATGACAAAAGGTATCATGTAAGCAAAGCAAAAAGGAAAAAAGAACCAATTCAAACAGGGCAGGAATCACATCCATACTAGACACTAGGGGCATGCAATTCAAAAATCCTCAAAAAGCAGGCAGTCCTATCAGCCCAGCAGGAGTTTGAGTGCTCCAGTCTGGGTATACGTTTGAACAGCAAGAAACACTCTGACAAGGTCCACATAGATGAGGTGGTTGACTGTAACAAGACAAAAGCAGAACATTTTTTCCAGCCTGTACAAATGCTGTGGATCATCAGACACCTTCCTGCAGGCCCAGCAGGGTTTGCTCAGTTTAGAGAAATGACTGGTACTGTGCAAAATGTAAGTGCAAGCTCACTGGCACAGTTTAAACAGCCGCTTTAAAACTATTAAAACAGGAAGGCAAATGTAAAGGAACTATTACATTTCCTCTGTACAATGATGGACTCTGAAAATCCAATACAAAAATGTTGATATTCTTTATACATATGTTTATCACATATGTTCCCTATCATATGAACTAGGCAATTTGCAGAGGCTACATTTAAAAAAACTTCCCAAGGCTTTTCACTGGTGCTGAAAGGATCTTTTTTTTTTTTTCACCAAATTCCAAATACTCTGTCGGGAGCACACACCCTGCTATCTGTGTGGTGACTTCAGAAAGATGTTTCTCCTCAATGAGTCAGTATAAGTTCAAGTGAGGTGAAAATAAGCTTTATTCCTGAGGTAGTACAGCTTCTGGTTCCAAAACTGCAAGCCATGGCAACCTCCCTGCATCTGTCTCTTCAGTACTTTGGATATACGTTGCTAAGTCAGTTCAGTGCACAGGGTCAACAAGATGACACAACATTCCCATAACTCTATCTCCTATTCCTGGTGCTAGAGGAGTTCCACAAATTATGCAGCAATCTGTCCTCTTGACTCTGATGAAAGGAATGTATTACCTGATATAGCCATTTTCAATCCTTTCAATATCTTCATCAGTAGTTCTGACAGACAGTCTGTGCATACCAGGGTAGGAGTGCTGGGTGCTGATTTTTGCCATTTTGCTTTACATATCAACATCTAAATGACAGCTGAAATGGGAAAAAAAATATGAAGACTGCAAAAGAAATGTGCTCAGTACTAAAAAGAGTGCTTTATTAAAACAGAAGAACAGTAAAAAGCAATTTCAACCATTTGAATAACAGCCAGTGATATTTACACATACATATGACATGTTTCTTGATTTACTTGTAGTAGATAGAAAAAAAAAAGTGCTAGTAAAAGTGTAACAAAGAAGATTCATCATGACCTTAAAAAAGGGTTACATGACACCGTATTCTTTTTAGTTTCTGGGCTTTATGAATACCTACACTGTCATACTTATTACCCATTGAAATTGCATATAAAATCTCATTAAAAAAAGATTACATTTAGAAAGTCAACCAAAAATAGCTAGATAATACATGTGCTAGGACAACCCATTCCATTTTACATTGATTCCCTTGTGCTAATTTTATCTATTTTGTGACTAAACTGTTTATTCCAAAAATACATATTAACCAAGCAGATAACTAATGAAACTTACCCCTCAGCTTATTATACACCATGCAGTAATTCTATATTATTAAAACTCTGCACTAAACATATACTCAGATTTTTTATTATACTGCTTCAAGACAGTCTCTGTTAAGATATTTAGCCACTCACCTCTTACAAGTTTTAGGATATTGATCTGAATCCCTTTCCAGATTTGACCTTAAATGCCTTTCCAAATTCAAATCACATCTATCCTCGCAAAATAAGTTTTAAGGCTCAAGACAAGTGTCTTACAAATAAGGAACTGAAAGACTTTCAGTGAAAGCTTTGAATTTTTAAAACAGAAAAATTTAAGTTTTGAAACTCCCTTCAGGAAACTTTTTCGTTTGAGATATGACTAGAATGAAATTCTCTTAGGATCAGTTAACTCCCTCAGACTACCTACTGTCTCTTTTCACCTGAAATCCTCTGTCTCACTGACTACACAATATTCACAGATCTTTCAGAAACTAACTTTCTGTCCCAAATTATTCCTGAAGCAAAGCTCATAATCCATGATTAGAACTATGTTATGTATCCACTTTCTTAAAAAATAGACACCCAACTTACCCTGCACTCAACTTCCAGACAACTAAAGAAAATCACATACAACTTTTAAAATTATTTAATATATTTCAAAATATAAAATAGGTTATTTTTTTATCCAGAAATAATAAAATCAGTTTAGAAATAGCACTTGCATATCATTTAACACCTGAAATTTTGATTAGTATTTCCCATTACTAATTTTGCCTCAGTGTAAGTCAGTTAATGTCTGTGTCTCACCTTAAGCTGAGCCCTGTTCATGCTGGTTAACTGAAGTTTTACTGGGGAAAAATGGGCATTTTTATTACACATCAATATAAAAAATTGAGTTCTTCTAACCCAGCCTCAGATTGGAATGTTCACTCAGAAGAATTAATTTCTAAAGTGCAGATAATTTATGCTAAAAACATAACTCAAGGTTTTAAAAGCTTGGTGGTGGGAAAAGAAGAATGATTCATAAGTAACAAAGCATTAAACTTTTTTCTAAAGATGTATTTTCAGCACAAAGTTAGTACTGAGTTAAGATCTTGATGACCTAACACAACAGTAATACTGATCAGTTCTGATGATTCACAATCAGATTGATGTCTACCTCTGGCAGTTCTTAAGCAAGGGTCACCTGGTTTATAATATCCAACAAATAAATAACTCTGCTAAAACACTAAAACTGTTGAAACAATAAAACCATGATTTAATAAAACCCTTCTGAAGTCTTGGGATGATGTCGATAATTTGTTACCAACAACATGTATTCTCTCACTGAGAAGATGCATTGCCCCTGAATCTGGAGATTAGTGAACAATGCCTTTCTGTATTTCAAATGCTGTAGGTGTGAATATGGATTTCCAGACACTTGTGCATCAGCTCCCGAAAGTTTGGTTAAGAAAACATTAAGTATAGTATTTCTTTAAACTTAAAACTGAAATGGCTTCTCTAGATGTTACTAATCTCCTGAAATTAGATATTACTAGTCTGGACTTAAACACTATTAATAGATACTGGAATTAGATATTCCAAATCTCCTCGAAAGGCTTGAGTATGCCAGTGGAAGCGCTGAATACAGAAAACACTCATAAACCTTATTTAGACTTCCAAAAACTATGCCACTAAAGAAACAAAACAAGTCATAGGATATGAAGCCAAATACTATATTGGATTAAAAATGAGAAGACAGACAAGAACAGGATTAAACAGCCTCCCTCACCACTGCAGAAGTTTAAGAACAGTATTCCTCAGAGCTCCACAGGAAAATCTGTCATTAATGATGCTGACGAAAAGAAGGAGTGGTGATACAAGAAGATCTCAGTATGGCAAAAAACATTATAGGCAGGAGTAACAAAAGGAGTGCAAGGAACTTCAGGGTGACCCCCAACAACTATATCAATTTCTCAATTTGATGACAAGTGATGTGCAACATAGGCAAATGGAAACCAATGAACACAGGTGAACAGCATGTAAGCTACCGCCTTACATGCTTCCAAATGGGCCATATGCTCTCAGAAAGGGAACCTGAGAGTAGTTTTAGATTAAGTACTAGAAAGAAATTCTTCACTATGATGGTGGTGAAACACTGGAACAGGTTGCCCAGAGCAGCTGTGGATGCCACATCCCTGGAAGTGTTCAAGGCCAGGTTAGATGGGGCTGGGACCAATTTGGTCTAGTGGAAGGTGTCCCTGCCCATGGCAGGGGAGTTGGAACTACATGGTCCTTAAGGTCCCTTTCAACTCAGACCATCGTATGAACTTATGATACACGTTCAGGTCACTGCAGGCTTGCTGATGCAATAACTGACAATATATACATGGAAAATGTTAATGACACAAAGAACACAAAACAACAGCGCGGACTTACTTAGCACACTATTAGTCCTTCTCTTGAACAGAAAGATAAAGCAGCATAAAAGCATGGCAAGAATGATTAAGGACATAGAGAAGGGAGAGAAATAAAAATGGTCTTGCTCACCCTAGAAAGATGAAGAATAAAATAAAATTATGTAGGTAAAATTGGAGCTCATTTCAGATCCGTTACAATAATTTCAGCTGTAAAGTTCACACTCAATATACAATGTGCTCTGAACTCTTATTCTACACTATACTGGAGGAAAGGAGGAGGGGAACATTTCATGGAAATACAACTCTATTATTAAGCAATAAAATACAATCATGCATTTTTGGAAGGAGGTAGGGACAGTGGATGAAGGTGTGTTTTGTGTGCCCAGCTGTGGTGGAGGGAAACTGAACACAGGACTGATAGAAATAAATAATGCAGCAATTTGAGTACAGAGCGGGTGGTGAGACCTCCTGAAGTAACATGGTTTGGCACTGCATGAACCCCATAAAATTCTGAAAAATTACTGGCTATCTGATAAAGGAGAAATATTTGTTCTTTCTAGGCCTCCAAGAATCCTAATGATAAATGTGTTCAGTGGTCTAGGGAGGAGATCAGCATTTCAACATTGGATCCAAAATCTGGCAAGTGACTGACTAGGGAGCAGCTTAACATGAGCTATCAGGAGGAACCAGCAGGAAAGTCCTGAAGAGCCGTGAGGGTCCGCGAACACCTTTTGCAGGGCCACAGAGAGACAGCTCCAATTGTCTGGGATCTGCAGTTCCAAAATTGCTACTAAATACTGGTTCTTATCAGGCAGTTTTAAGAAGTGAGTAGAGCTCAGCTTTGTATTTAAAAACATAGTTGTTACAGTAGTGTGGTGGGCTGGCCTTGGCTGGCTGCCAGATGCCAACCCAGCTGCTCTCTCACTACCCCTCCTCAGCAGTCCAGCAGGAAAAAGTAAGATGCGAAAGCTCATGTGTAGAGGAGAAGGACGGGAATATCACTTAGCAATTATCATCGCAGGCAAAACAGGCTCAAATTGGGGAAAATTCAATTAACTTATTGCAAATTAAAATAGCGTTGGATGGTGAGAAACAAAAACAACTCTATCCTTCATTTTTTCCCCAAATTCAGCTTCACCCCTACATTCCCAACTCCTCAACCTCCTCCACCCTACCCAGCAGCACAGTGGGTGGGGAATGAGGGGTTGCAGTCAGTCCATAATGCTTCCTCACTGCCACTTCTTCCTCCTCACACTGCCCCTGCTCCAGTGTGGGTCCCTGCTGCAGGCTGCAGTCCTTCACAAACTGCCCCAGTGTGGATCCTCCACGGGCCACAGTTCCTGGCAGGAGAACCTGTTCACACATGGGCTCCTCTTCACTGGCTGCAGTTTCCTTCAGGAAATAGCTACTGGCTCCACTGTAGGGTCCTCCACAGTGGATGTCTGCTCCAGTATGGTCCCCTCCATGGGCTGCAGGGGAATCTCTGCTCCAGTGCCTAGAACACCACCTCTGCTCCTTCTTCTCTGACCTTGGTGTCTGCAGAACTGTTTTTCACCCATTTTTCCTCCCCTCATTCCCAACACACTGTTTTCATAGCATTATACTCATTCTTAAGTGCTTTTCCCCAGAGTGCCACCATCTTGGCTGCAAGGGATCAGCTGGAGACATTTGTGTCCAGCACAGGCAGCCCTGGCTGCTCCTCAGAGAGGGCCCCACAGCACCCTGCCAGCCCCTGGGGGCCTGCACCCACCACACATTGGTATTTGCCTTCTATAAAATCTCTATTATCCCAGAACTACACTCTCTACTATGAATATTTAAAGGTAGTAATTACATTGAGAGTAAAACTTGATTACCTCAAGGCTGACAAGCCTGATAAATCCACATTAGGTCCTCAGAACAGGTATTTAGCCTACAAGCGACTGAACAAGAGAAACAGACAGACAAACAGAAGGATAGTTCTCTGACCCTCAATCTAGTCATCCAGCAAAATAAAACTTAGCTGAAACCCTCCTAGCTCTTGAAAGATTGACATATTTACCAATGCCTTAAGCAGAATTCTAACATGCTTTCTCACTTAGTCTTTCTGTCCTTGCTACCAATTGTACTAACCTGAAAAAGATGAACAATAAATAATTCCACACTCAAGAATATTGCCTTTCAGTACTTAAATCACTGAGACTGAAACTAGAGCTAAATGACAAAGATGTATTATTCTACTAAAAATGCGACAAATTATACATTACTGATAGCACTGCCTACTCCAAATGCAAATAGTTCATGTACTCTTTTATCCTCTTGGATTCAATAGAAACTGATGTTTTGTGTCAAATTATTTTATATGCACTGTCTGGTATAAAAGACCTGTTTTATCAAGACAGCAAGTTGTTTGACAACAAATATGAGTTCAAATAACATATGAAAACTTCAGATTCACATAAGCCTTTACTAGTTTTGAAAGTCACGTTCTACTTATCTCTTTAGAACCATATCTGTATAGACTTAGAACAAGAGGTATGAAGGCTGCAGTATCTAAATTTAAGGAGCTGTGCCATCCAGTGGATATCCTAAATCAGGCATACAGAAATTCAGGTACCCAGGAACAAGGCTCTAAGAGGGGAGCTACATGTGCTAGCCAATATGAAAAGACTGAAGCTAAAATGGGAGACTGAAAATAACTGAGCATCTAACTCCAGGTCAAAAAGAGGTGGCACCCAACTGACAGACATTAACTCCCCTCTTTCTCAAATCTGTTCGCTCATGTGCAGCAAATTGTATTGTGCTGAGCAGCTGCACCTCAAAAATGAAAAGCTTTTTGAGTCTGCTTCAAGTTAAGAAAGCCAAACCATTTTTCCCCTTTCTCCAGAGCCTGCTACCAATAGATTATGGGATATATTCACACATAACTCTCTCATGGGTTTTCAGTGCTCTGAGGACATACACTGCAGCAGCAGCAGGAATGTCTGTTTTCAGGACCCACGGCTATTTGGACACTGTCAAGGCCTCTGAGTAGCTTTTTGTCCTATGTTTCAGACAATTTTGCACATACTCAGTAGGACAAAAACCCAGGCACACACTTTAATATTATAAATTATATAAAATTTAGGAAGTTGATGGCCATCAGCTAAGCCACCAAAATGAATTGTACAGCTTGTCAAACATCCATGAAAGAACTTTGAATTACTACAGTGTCCTCAAGAGCACTGAGAGTTCACATTTAGGCTACTCTACTAGTTCCACTTTGGGGCAGAATATGTTAATTCACCCTAACTTAATTCAAAATCATTAACCAACCAAGAATTAATACACCTGATACAAAATAAATGTAGTTGTTTATCAAGCAGTGATGGCAGATCAAGCTATTTATATCGCCACTTAATATTCTCAAAGCTTATTTATTTAGACGGAGGGAAAATATGACAGAATTCAAAAACCAGCTTTTCAAGGTGAAATATGTTTCACCATCACAAAGTAAAGGATGACCTTACATACAGTTTTGTAATGGATCTTATGTGTTTGTCTAGTTGGTAAAATACTGTAGTTCTTGAGGCTTTCAACATTTCATTTATTGCTATGGAAGCAGTAATAAGCTGCATAGGATCACTTACATCATTTCAGTTAAGACACATTCTAAATCCTCACACAGCCGCTCAGGTTCAACCCTGCTAAGACTTTGGGATTTATTTTGGGATTTGACCTCCACCTACATGATCCTTGTTATATCACTTGGTAATAGTTGTAGCTCAGCTGTATTTCTGTATCTTGTGTATGTTACGTGTGACAGCCTGCAGCTCCAATGATACGACCAGAACAGGCAACAAATGGACATCAAAGACTGGACACTGGATCTTTAAGTAACTACACGATGTGAAGACAAGGCACAACCACTTGGAGGTTTGTAAATTAACCCACAGATAGGACTCTGGCATGTTGTCATGGACATCAACTTTGTATAAAGGCTACTAGATCAAACCCAAGGGGCTGAAAATCAGCAAGCTGCACCACCTTACCCTCATGAATCATTATGCATAACAGTTTGAATCAACAATTCTTAAATCCTAGGACTTCTTTTAAAAGGACACTTTTCAAATTTTATTACTCTCTGCTAGAAAATATTGCATTTACCACAGTCTGTGGGCACTGACATCTCCTGAAAATGAACATAGTTTACATGCATAGCCTAGTAGCCTCAGTACCAAAGATCTGTCAAATACCTTTTACAGGTACTCTAGGATGTGCATATACTCCACACAACACTGCATATGCTTGTATGTAAAATTTAGAGTTTTAGAATGAAATGCACATGATTAGCCTTGCTCCATTTGATGGCTGAGTCCCTGGCACCTTGTAGTACCAAAATAACCTTTAGAATAAATGGTTATTTGAACTGAGTTTCCCTTCTGTATTTATGAATTATTAGTAATGCAGTTCAATTTTCTAAGATCTGCTAAACTTTTTTGCAGACCATTTTCTGTGAATTTATTATTTTTTTAGACTGGAAACTATTTAAGAAAAACTAGCCATGAATATTGAACATAATGTTGTAAATTAAAACGCAGTAAATTACAAATTACAGCTGACTAGACAACCAAGCTACATCATGTTGTTTCTGTTGCTGGTACGGGCTAACAAGATGCAGGTACTCAGTACCCATGTTTCTATACAGCAAATAAGCTCTGTGCAAGGCTTCTGTAGCCACTGTCTGAAAATCACCAGTTCTGACAATGTCTCTGTCAGTGCATTCATTTACCAAGATAACTCTTAAAAGGGAACATAACAGGGGCATGAATACAGCTAAAACACAGCAAGTTTATACTTCTGGATGCATGTCTATAAAATATATATGTAAGTTTTCATGCATGCACGTGCGTACATGTGAGTGTTACCCCTTCAAATTCACTCCCTGCCCACATTACGTAAACCATTGGAGCTATTCCACTTGGCTAGGGAAGGAAAGCTTGAGAGGTAAATTCTGTCACGTTTCACAAGCAGTAACAAGACATTCAACAGAAGAGGATTTAAGAGATGTTAATGAAAAGAGATGGCAACATCAGAGGAGGCTGCAGGACAACATGCTGAACCAAAATGACTGAGCTTGGGTGCAAATTAGATGACAACGGCTGGGATACACAGAAGGCAAAGCTGAGAGATGCTAATATGGAAGGATGCTGTATACTTTTTTAACACTGATGCGCTCTTCCCTCAAGTTGTTCACTGCATGTTTACTATGACTACCCTTGCTAATTAGACATCCTTACAGTCCCATTATCATCTACACCTGTATTTTTCTAATCAGATTATTTTAGCATACATAACTCAAAGAAAATTACATAAACAATACCAGAGGGAAAAAAAACTGGTAACTGAAGGCAAAGTTATGCTATTTCAAAACCTGTAACATCTGAAACTACACTTTACTTATTTGTAACAATGAACATTACAGATTTTAAATACAACATTCCTCTAATACTTGCTTTGAATGCAACAATTATAAATCTGGAAAACAAAATACAGTTAAAAGTGTCCACACTCAACAGGTACCAACATTTACATTAACATCGTTTCTTCAGAGAACTGTAACGTTCAGGTCATTTTTTCTTGACTTCTTTTGACTTTTTTCTCTCAGCAAGTGAGTGGACCTCTCACTAGAGAAAGACTCTGATTATAGTTATTATTGTATCTTGCATATTCTTAGGCACACTATGGCCTGGATTACACTATAGGAGTTTTGCAAAAGATGTCATATGGCTAGAACCAAGGTCAATTTATTGGGAGCACTGAGAATCACTGGAAAATTATTCCCTTTCACTACCTGCATTATTTGCTAGCATTTCCTTTATACAGGAAACAACATATACAAACAACCTCCTGCTTACACCACAGCAACCAGAGAGCAGAGAAGTTAAGAGACACATCGATCAAACTGGCAAAATTAAGTATCGGTCAACAGGAATGGTGTAAGTGCCCCTCGGCCTCACTTTTGTATGGATTCGTGTCCTGAATCCAATTTGATTGTGAGTATGCAGAACTCTGTGTCAATTAACCAAATGAACACTTTCATTTAAAACTAACTAACTAACTAACTAACTAACTAACTATTGTAAGTTACGTTTTCATTTCAAGCTTCTGAGCTAAGCTTTGGAACTGAAGTCCGATGCAGGACACGATCCCGCTCTCACGGGCATGACAGAAAGGGAGGCTTACTGCCTCCTCTTCCAGACTCACCTGCCCACGCTTTCCTCCGCAGCACCCGAACTCTGGAGCTCCGTCCTACCGTCCGCCTGCCTGTGGGATGCGGATGCCCCGGGGCCGCGATCCTCGAGCGACGCTGGCGGTCAGCGCTGCCCTTCCCGGCGCGGTTCCAGCGCGGAACCTTTCCCGGCCGCGGAGCCGGGCAGCCCCGGCAGCCCCGGCAGCCCCGGCAGCGCAGCCCGGCCCGGCGCGGCCCGGCGGGGGCGGCGGGGCAGGGCAGGGCCCGCCGGGCCGCCCCTCCGCGCGGCGCGGGCGGATTACGGCCAGAGCCCGAGCGCCTAAACCCGGCTCACCGGGAAAAGCCGCTCGAAGGGCTTTGCGATCCTGTTAAGTTCTCGGAGAGGATCAAGACGTCAAAGCGGCTCGGCGGCGCCCCGGCACATTTCGTGCCACGCCGAGGAAAGTTGGGAGCCCGGCGCGGGTAGGGCAGGGCAGGGCCGGCCCGGGGCCGCTGGCGGAGCGAGGACCCGCAGCCCCGGGCGGCGACACGAGAAGGGACGGGACCGGGCGAAGTGGCTCCCGGCAGCGGCACACGCTCCGGCGCCCGCGGCACTCTCTCCCTGCGGGGCGGAGCTCATCCCGCCTCACCGGGGCGGGGGCCGGAGCATCGGTGCCTGTGGGCCAGGCAGAGTCCCGCCGCCGCCCCCCTCTGCCTCCCGGCCGCGCTCACCGCGCCAGCTGCTGCCTCGGCCGCCGCCCCGGGGGCCGTGCCGAGGGGAGAACCTGGGAAGAGCAGGGATGCTCGGCGGCGTCCCCAGAGGGGCCGGCGGCTCTCAGGAGGAGATCTCCGGGCCGGCTCCTCGCCGCCCTCCCCTCGCACACGCTGCCCCTGCGCCTTCCTCTCGGCCGGCGGCGGGCGCGGAGGGGCCGGAGCGGGGCGGCGGCGGGGCCGGCGGGAGCGGGGATCGGCAGGATGGCGGGTGGGGACGTGCCTCTGCCGGCTGAAAGCGCGTCCCCCTCGGCAGCCGGCGCGGCGCGGATTTCCCGGGACTCTGCCCCGCCGTCCCAGCCTGAGGCGAACCTGAGGGGATGGTACCCCACAGCCGGTCTCCCCGCTGGGGCCGACACCTTCTCCCTCATGAGAGGCGTTTCTCCTCGATGTACCGCTGAACAGGTTTCTTCTTCAGTGCTCTGGCCCTCACTCCCTGACCTCCTGGAGGGAGCTGACGCTCATTTTCATATGCTGAGGCTCCCTCAAGGCTTTTGCATTCCCTCGAACTTCACCTGTTCACCTCTGATTCTGCTTTTCACAGGATTCAGAAAAGCTGAAAACAAAGAGTGTGTATTATATATGAAGTGATTCTTCAGCTGGAAAATGTCAGCAGAAGCCATGTCATTCCTAAAGGAAAAGCTGCTGCATTTTGCTGCATGTCATTGAACGCAATGCGACATTAGAAATTCATTTGAAGTGGTCAGGTTTGTGGAGTTACTCACTGCTTTCCCCTCACTGAGAATCATTTTACATGGGAAAGATGAACCACATGACACAACAAGGCCTGAGGAGAAGAAAAGACCATGTCTAAAACTCTTAAAACCCCATCAGAAACTCAAGCTGTCTGTC